CGCAGTTATCATTCTGGTTTAGATGTCACCCCCTATGAGAAGCTGTTTAAAAAACGCCCTAATCTGAAATACCTACGTATTTGGGGTTTGGATGTAATTATGCATTATCCTGCTAAGCAGAAATTGGGTGAACGTAGTGTTCAGGGAAAATTAATGGGCTACCAGCAGGGGGCGTACAGAATTTACATACCAGCAACTGGCAAATTTCATATTACCAGAAGCATGATACAAACTGTAAATTGGAATGAAGTTGCTGTTTTCCAAGATACTGGTGGTATAAATGATACTGAGGAAGAAGAGGAAGCAGGAGCAGCAGCAGCAGCAGGAAATGGTGATTCTGAATTAATGGGAAAAGACAAAAAGCCTGTTGAATCTGATAATTTGTTTGATTTAAAGTCACAGGCATCTGAGGGGAGGTTAGATTCTCTTGAGTTTTCTGACCGTGAGCTTAGCCCACAGGCACCTCTTCAGTCTGACAATGATAATTTACAATCTGAAACTAGTAGTTCACTGAGTCCCATTAAGTCTGAGGAGTCTGACTCTCCTTCCGGACTGAGACGTTCAGATAGAAAGAGGCAGAAGCCACAACGTTTCGCAGATGAACATTTTAATACTGTGTATGCCAATAAGGCGGTTTTTGAGCCAAAAAGCTACAGTGATGTTCAGAATCTACCTATGCACCAAGCTGTAAATTGGTATAAAGCTATGAACTCTGAGATAGCTTCTTTAAAAGAGCATAACACTTGGTCTCTTGTACCACAAACCCCAGATATGAGACTTATTGATTCAAAATGGGTTTATAGAGTTAAAATGAATGACAAAAATGAAGTTGTAAGGTACAAGGCAAGACTAGTTGCTAGAGGTTTTCAACAAATTCCAGGTGAAGATTATGATTTGTGTTATTCACCAAGTGTAAAATATGAAACTGTTAAGCTTTTGTTAAAAGATGCATCACAACGTGGACATTCTGTTTATCACCTAGATATAAAAACTGCATATTTGTTTGCAGATTTAAAAGAACAAATTTTTATGCGTGTCCCTGAAGGCATAGACGCTACTGAAGGTTTGGTATGCAAATTAAATAAATCCCTTTATGGTCTGCACCAAAGTGGAAGGAATTGGCACCAAACTTTAGCAAAAGAATTGCTAGATATTGGTTTTTCACAAGGAAAGGCAGACAATTGTGTGTTTATAAAGGAAAGGGCAAACTCTGTAACAAAAATATGTGTGTATGTAGATGACGTATTAATTTCTACAAAAACTAAACAGGAATATGAACAGGTAGTTTCACAGTTACAGAAGAAGTTTGATGTGGTGGAATTAGGCATAGCTAAAAATTACTTATCCATGCAAATTGAGAAAGGCAAAAATGGATCTTTTCTGGTTCATCAAACTGCAAAAATTGATGATCTAGTTGAAATGCTACGTTTAGAAAATGCAAATGGGAAGGAAACACCTATGGTGTGTGGTTTCACCTTTACAGGTGAAGATAAGCCATTTCCTAACAAAACTTTGTATCGTTCTGCTATAGGCAAGCTAAATTTCATTCAAAGAATCTCAAGACCAGATATAACTTATGCTTTTCACTTTCTAGCAAAATTTGTGGAAAAGCCCACTACACAATGTTTCTCTGCTCTTAAGAGGGTGGTAATGTACCTTAAACATACCAAACATTATAGGTTGCAGTTTACACCCAGTATTGATAAAGGTTTTGAAATTTTCTGTGATGCATCTCATGCAGTAGAACAAAATAATTGCAGGGGTGTGTCTGGTATGGTGTTTTGTTATAACGGTTGTCCATTTGAATGGAAGTCCCAGACACAAAACATTATTTGTCTCTCCACAACTGAGAGTGAATTATGTGCATGCGTTCAGGCCACTCGTGATGTAGAATGGTATCTGCAAGTATTTGCAGACCTACAGATGCAAGTAACACTACCAGTAAAAGTTTACCTTGATTCCCAGAGTGGACTTGCTATCCTGTGTTCAGAGACCAATACGCAGCGCACTAGAGTTTTAAGGTTACGTTTAGAATTTGTAAAGAAACTAATTGCTGATGAAATGGTTGTATTTAAATATGTTCCAGGTGACAATCAAATTGCGGACATTTTTACTAAAGCACTTCCAAAGGTTACACATGAAAAACATGTACAAAGTATGCTTTATGTTTTTGTTCCACAATGATGAACCGCAGGGGAAATGTTGAATGGTTTCTTTAAATGTAAAGGTTCATCATTGTTCCACTCCATGTGTATGTCTTTAAGGGGCCAGAGCAAGGGCCAGAGCAAGATAACGAGACCCAGCTTTACAGCTGTGTAACATAGCAGGTGCTGCTGAGTTGTATTTGATTAAGGTGTGTCAGCATTTGGTTGTAGTATATAAGGAGCAGCACCTAGCTCTCCCATTACCCTGGGGGATGGGTTGGTGGTTGGGTCATGTTTGTTTGTTAATATATTTAGTGTTAATGGAGTTTTTGTTTTTCTTATTAAAACCTTCTTTAAGTTATTTTTGAGTCCTTTCTTTTTAATGCATGATCTCCCCAGCAAGCTCTCTGCAGCGTCACTATACTGCAAAAAGCCAACATCTTTCACTGTGAAAGTCTGGACCTCCTCTGACGTGAATGCAGTTCTGTTGTCTGAGACGAGGGTGTCAGGAAAGCCCATGGGCCATGAACAGCCTACGTAGTACCCAGATGGCCACGGCCATAGAAATGAAACTATTCCAGGGTGACCTCCAGTCATTTGGTGTTGGAGTCCATCACTACGAAGGATGTTTTTCCCTGGAAGGGGCCAACGAAGTACATGTGCAGGCAGGACCATGGCTCTTGGGTGGACTCCCAGGACTGGATGGCGCCCCTCAGGGGATCCAGGTGGGACTCCTGTCAGGTCTGGCAGTATTTAACCCAGGCCTCTATCTCTCTGTTGATCCTGGGCACTACACGTAACTCCTGGCAAGGGCCTTCATTCTCACCAACCCTGGGTGTCTCTCGTGTATGGCTGTGAAGAACTTTTGGCGGAGTGGCTGGGGAGCTACCACCCTCCTCCCACATAACAGGCATCCCTTGTGGGCCAACGGTTTGTGTTTGCGGGTCGTGTAGCCCGCAAATCCGGACCTCGGCTGTTACTGGGCCATCCCTGCCACACCCAGTCCAGGACCTGGGAGATGACCCTATCTTTCTTGGAGTGGCACGCTAGTTCTGGCACCTGATTGGGGCAATCGGGAAGCAGCTCCAGGTTCATGACCTCTTGCGCGGGCACTGGGTTGGGGTTGGTCTATGGTAGTGGTAGCCGGCTGAGGGCCAGTAGAACACTGGTAGCCGACAAGGAAAATCAATGGGGGGAGTACTTGGGGGGGGGTCTGCTTCTCAGGGACGAACAGACCGAGTTACCACAATAAAGGGCGCCCGCGCAAGAAATCATGAAAACAATTTACTCCCTTCACGATTGTGAGACCCTCCTTGTCAATTTGCGAGTTCTGCTCAGCTGCAGTGAGGATCTGGGAAAAGTACGCCACCAGCACTTCTCTCCCATCTGAAAGTTGGTGCCCCAGGATGGCGCCAATGCCATAGGGCGAGATGTTGCATGCCAGCACCACCACCAGCCTCTCATCAAAGTGCGCCAGAACCGAGTTCAAGATGAGCAAGTCCTTGACTGCCTGGAATGTGGCCTCCTGGCACTGCCCCCACACCCACGAGGGCTGCTCGTCTAGGAGCCTGTGTAGGGGTTCCGCTATCGCCGCCTTATGAGGAAGGAAGGTGTGGTAAAAGTTCAATAGTCCCAAGAAGGCCTGGAGTTCGACCTTACCCTTAGGTGCCAGGGTGTCGCAAATGGCCTGCACCTTGTTCCCGGTCAGGTGGACCCCGTCTACATCCATCGTAAATCCAAGTCCACCTGGGGCACTCCTAGTCGACACTTTTCCCGCTTCATCTTGAGCCCAGCAGTCTGGAAACAGTGCAGGACAGTGCAGAAGCAGACCCTGAACTCCTCCGGCATGGGCCCAGCAATCAACACATCATTGAAGAAGGGAGTGACACCGGGAACCCCTTTGAGGAGAGAGTCCATTAGATTCTGGAATATGCCTAGTGCCACGTTGATGCCGAATTGCTGTCGCTTGACCCGGAACGTGCCACTGTGCTTTACAATCGTCTGTGCCTCAATGGTGACCTCATCCACCAGCAACTGCTGACAGGATTGGGTCAAGTCCACCGGCACCAGGTACGTGTTGCAGCACCCCACTTGTCACTTTTCGCCAGGAAGATGAGGAACCATGAAGGAGTACTGTTCAGGTTACGTCAGCAAAATCCACCTAACAGTTACATTGTTCAGCCGACATTTTACCAGCTTCCTCACATAAATATCGCAGGGGACTTTGTCAAAAGCCTTACTGAAATCAAGATGCACTATTTCCACAGCTCTCCCCTGATCAACAAAGTTTGCAACTCCATCCAAAAAAAGGGGGAGGAGACATTTCTCTGGCTTTACTTGTTTTTAAGAAAGCCACGCTTTCATCCTGTATGTTTATATTGTGAAATCTTCAGACGAAGGGCACATAAATTTTAAAAATGATAATAAATAAGGATATTGACAAGCTGGAACATGTGCAAAGGAAGGTGATACATGTATTTAATTTGTATTCCACCCTACCCAGTAGTGCCGACTTAAATGAAATAATGGTGGGGGGATCAGGTAAGGCCTGCCTTGCACAATCAATCACATGATGCATGTGTGCCATTGGCATGGCAATGCCTATCAACTGGGTGGGTGCCCCCTCAAATATTTTATTGGGGGGGGGCAAAGAACCCTCAGCCTCTAAGAGTTGGCTTCTATTCCCTACACCCCCAGGTCTAAGGACGGTTACAACATAAAAAAACAAAAAATACACATCTGTAACCCCCCTCCGAACATTTTAAAAGGACATTAGATGTCAATCAGCCAAAGGTCTACTTAAAAAGGTGCATATTAGCCTGATGTCTAAAGCTATACTGAAGGGTTTTTCCGAACTATGTATGAATTCTCTGATGCCTAGTGAGATGGGAACTCTGACTGAAGCTCTTTCCACATTCCACACACTGATAGGGTTTCTCCCCTGTATGAATTCTTTGATGGGAGGTGAGAGTGAAGTTCTTCCTGAAGCTCTTTCCACATTCCACGCACTGATAGTGTTTCTCCCCTGTATGAATTATTTGATGGGAAGTGAGATTGGAGTTCTTGTTGAAGCTCTTTCCACATTCCATACACTGATAGGGTTTCTCTCCTGTATGAATTCTTTGATGGAAAGTGAGACTGTGGCTGTGACTGAAGCTCTTTCCACATTCCACACACTGATGTGGTTTCTCCCCTGTATGAATTCTTTGATGTGCAGTGAGATGGGAGCTCTGACTGAAGCTCTTTCCACATTCCATGCACTGATAGGGTTTCTCCCCTGCATGAATTCTTTGGTGGTAAGTGAGATCGGAGCTCTTCCTGAAGCTCTTTCCACATTCCACACACTGATAGGGTTTCTCACCTGTATGAATTCTTTGGTGAAAACTGAGACTGTGGCTATGACTGAAGCTCTTTCCACATTCCACACACTGATAGGGTTTCTCCCCTGTATGAATTTTTTGATGGGAAATGAGATGGGAGCTCCTCCTGAAGTTCTTTCCACATTCCATGCACTGATAGGGTTTTTCCCCTGTATGAATTCTCTGATGCTTAGTGAGAATGTCGCTGTGACTAAAGCTTTTTCCACATTCCACACACTGATAGGGTTTCTCACTTGTATGAATTCTTTGATGGGAAGTGAGATGGGAGCTCCTCCTGAAGCTCTTCCCACATTCCACACACTGATAGGGTTTCTCTCCTGTGTGAATTATTTGTTGGGAAGTGGAATGAGAGCTCTGACTGCAGCTGTCTCCACACTCCAAATTTTGATGTGGCTTCTCCTTTATGGGGATTTTGTTGTGGTCACCCTTGTTCTCGATTTCCAATTCATCGCAATCTGCAATGGACACAAAAAGGGATTAGAGCCTCAGGAAGAAATGGAGAAGAACTGAAGGGGGTTGGGTGTGTTAAAAACCAGTGTTAAAAACAGTACAGCGTTACATATTAAAAATTTCCCTTAGGATGTCTTCTGAATGTCAGGTAATTATTTATCTGTTTGACATTTGGTACCTCTAGTTATGAACATATAACACAAATGTTTGTTCAATTATCTGTATTCTATCAAAAAGTATAGCCAAATAAGCAGAAAAAGGAAGCACAACTTGGTTATGTTGACTTTTTTCAGTGTGTTATGTGATTGCTATCATGTTAGTTGGTTTTTTGTGTGTGTTCTTTTATTTAGTGAGTGTGTAAAACATAATAAAATTAAAGAAGTGGCACAAAGAGTTGACTTGTCACCCAGATAGCGATGTAAAATAGTACTAGTAAGTGAACAAGACTATGTCTATGAAAAATTAGAAGAAAGATTGGGGGAAAACAACCAAAGCTGGCCTTTCTACATTTTTGAAGAGGTATAAGGAGCATCAGTCACTATAAAATCAGACTGGTAAAGGCAGGGAAAGGTGCACAACAGCAAGTGACAATCGAAGAATGGAGAGACTGTGCCTACGTGACAGAAGAAAATCATCTTTAAGCAGAGGCTTGACAACCATATGTCAGGAGTGCTCTGATGGTGTTTCCTGCTTGGCAGGGGGTTGGACTCGATGGCCCTTGTGGTCTCTTCCAACTCTATGATTCTATGATTCTATCTGGGTGTCTTCAAGATGACATGGTGCAATGTAATGTGAAGTTGAGCGTAAGGACTGGTTTAAATGCTAGAATTCTAAGGAAAAAGCCATTGTTATCTCTGAAGCCAAGGTTGGAAAGATTAAACTGGGCTAAAACCCATGGTCACTGGACAGCAGAAGAATGATCCTATATTTACATTCCTTGCTGTTGGGTGTATGGGAAGGGAAGTTAGGATGATTTTACTTCCTCTCTTTGTCCTTCTCTTTTGACTTAGAGGAGATGGCCCTGTTTCTATGTTTTCTCTGCTGTAAATAAAATTCTCAATGCTACAATCCTGCACAGTCTGATATCGCTAAACTCTGCTAATGCATGCTCTCACCCCAGGGTGGGAGCCGAAGTGTCATACTGGACAGAGCCTGAAGGGTTGTTCCCATAGATAGTGTGATAGATCTGGGGTTGTATGACAGAAAAAGGTGTGGGCAGAATTTGCATCATTAATAGGAATGTAAATGACCAAAAGTGCATAAATGAAATACTTGAGCCCAAACTGGTGTTCTACATTTGATCTTTTCTCACATAATGAAGTGTTTTTATATTTTTATATAAATATTTAGTTAGTAAGAAGCAACCCAGCAATAAAGCCCAATTAATAGAGGCAACAATTCCATCTTTGTTTCACATTATTACAGCTGCTGAATGAAAAAACTTGCTTCACTCCATGGGAAGGCGTTGTAAGGCCAGAATTAAAGCGAAAGGTTAACAAACTAAGTATTAATTGACATGGTGAGAATTTCTATAGATCTCATTTTTTTCTATGTCTTTCATGTTTCGTATTTATGGCTGCTGTTCTAATACATACACTTTCATAAAAGTTATTGCATTGCATTCTTCATTAAATTATATTTCCATTGATATATAATTTTATGGTATTACTCCCAAAAAATTGGTGTTTTGAGCCATCAAACCTCGGAAATATACTTTTTGCAAGAGATTTCCACAATTTTGGCCACTACTATATGTTGTTTATTTTAAAGTTAATGTACTTTTTATATGGGATTGTTATTATGTTTCTGGTTTATATATGTGTTGGACGCCACCCAGAGTGGATAGGGCAACCCAGTCAGATGGGCAGGGGATAAATAAAAATTATTACTATTACTATCACTGCTACTACTACCTGAGATTCAATAAGCCTAGCTCTTGTCTGGGATGGATTTTGTTTGGCCCAGTCATGGCATCCCCTCGATCGCCAATGTGAGGCGTCTCTTTGGTCAACCCAAGAAAAACAAAAACAGAAAACCTGACAGAAGCTACTTATCTTTCCTAACAACTCTGAAGGTGACATTTAAGATGCCTGGGCAGTTCTGACCAGCCGAATCATGGTATAAAAAGGCAGAGCTGGAGGAAGATGGTTCACAGAAAAAACTGTAATTTCACGGTTTATTGTGGGTGTGTTAGGTTCCCAGGTGTTGTATGGGGCGCTGCTGAGCTCTGTGGAAATGCATGAGGTTTGTCACATAGAGGTATTTTTTGAATTTTCAGTCAGATATTAAGATCCCACAGGGAGCCTTACCAAGAGAGGCCACGATCCCACGATTCTCCTCCATGACGTCCTTATGCAGAGCTCTCTGGTCAGGATCCAGCAACGCCCACTCCTCGTCCGTGAAACAAACAGCGACATCTTCAAAGCACACTGGACCCTAAGAGAAAAAGGGAAATGTCCTCCTCTGAGACAGCAGAAATATGACCTGGTACACAATGCTCTGTTCTTTTCTTCCTCTTAATTGCTGCGTTGTTTCAATAGGATTGCTTTGCTGCACATTTCTATTATGGATGCCTATTTTGACGTTTTAATTGAATTATTTTATTCAGCTTTTAATTATGGGTATTCATCTTTGTGCAAATAGGTGGTTCTCTTCCTTGTGGTTTTCAAGTCATCCTGCCTACGCAGGGATTCCAGTTTCCCAGATGGGAGGATCCCCTTTCTCCTCTCCTCATGTCCTGTTCTGAAGAGGATCCCTCCCAGTGCCCCACAGCCAAATTCCAGGGGTTCAAGGGGGCATGGAGAGGGGGAGGAATGGGGGGCAGGCTATATTTCGCAGCAGATGGGGCTGGCTAGGTGAATCCTGGCCTCTATTTGTTCTCATCCATCCACCGCTTAGAAGCCTATTTTAGCACTCAGTGATCAATCTAGAAATACAATAAGCCTAGTTTGGATGGCCATCTGTCTTGGATTATCTAGCTGAGACTCCTGCAATGCAGGGGGTGGGACTTGATGACCCTTGGGGTCCCTTTCAACTCTAGGAATCCATGAAAACTGCAACTACAGATGAATCCTACTGGCGACATTCAGAAGACTCGTGTCACAGAGTTATCTGGGCAGGAAATCCCACAGTTCACAGCTGGAGTTAACTCTTTCTTAGCAAGAACACAATATTCACAGACTTGGCTGAGTTTCAGGCCAAATGAGAACAGCAGCTCATTCCCTGAGGGTCTGTCAGTTTGCACTGTCAATCAATTAATGGACTAGTTGTCTAGGTGGAAGTTTCTTTAGTGTGGAGAGATTTGAAAAGTGAGCTGATATAGGGCAAAGTTTGTTGATGTGGTCTGGTAAAGAAGTGCTCTGATGAATATTCTGTTGGGGAGATTTGCTATAAAGCGAGGTTTTCAGGTCTTGGTTTATATGTTTGAGTGGAGTTTATATACTATTAGTAAGAGAAGGTTTATAAGATAGCTGTTTTGATGAGTGAGTTGTGTTTTTTCCCCTGTGTCAGGTTTCATAGGTAGCCTTTTGTTTTCTAATGGGACAACATTTAGTTTTCGGAGTCAGGATGTTGTTGTGCTGCTCACAGAAGCTTCTGGTCAGACTGTGTCGTCTGCTGGTGAACTGCAGGTCTACCAACCAAAGGCTAGGATTTATTCTTGTTGAAGGAAAGTGTACATGCAATGTTTTTCCAGAGGTGTTTTGCATATCAATACTTCCTGCACTTAATAAATGGAGGGATTGTCAGTCTGAATTTCTTAGTGGAGAAAGCATTGATCTGATATGTAGAGCTCTTTCCTATTCTAGTTACCGTATTTTTTCGCTCTTTTGGACGCACCGGACCATAGGAGGGGGAGAATAGGGGAAAAAAATTTTTTTTCTTTTTCTGCCCTCAAAAACAAGGTGCGTTCATGGTGCGTTCAAGAGCAGGTTGGGGAACCTTGCCGCTGCCCCCCGAGCTTGTGGGGCTGGCGCTGGGGGGAAGCGCTGCTTTCCCCCACTGCCAGCCTCAAAGATCCCTGAAGCCTTTGGAGCGCAGCTGCACTCCAAAGGCTTGAGGTTTCGGGGACATCCTTTGTAGCCTCCGCAGGGCGGTGGAGTCCCTTCACCCCGCCGCCCTGCAGAGGCTTTGCGCAGCCATCCCGAAGCTGGAACAGACGAAGGGCAGCACAGCGCCCCATCTCACTGTTTTGGCTTCGGGGACAGCAGGCTGCTATTCGCAAGCCTTGGGAGCCCGGCGGGAACTCCCACGGGCTCTGAAGACTTGTGGAGAGCTGCCCGAAGCCCGGGGTGCACAGCGCCGCACTCCCCGGGCTTTAGGCTGTAGGCAGCTGTCCGCCGGGACCTCTCTCGTGCTCCAGGCTTCAGCGAAAACCTGCATTCGCTCCATAGGACGCACACACTTTCCCCCTTCATTTTTGGAGGGGGGAAAGTGTGTCATATAGAGCAAAAAATAAGGTAATTCAAGAGGGTTCCGGAAGCTTCTCTGCGAAAAAGAAACAGTCAGAAGGTTCGTAAGGTTTGGGTCATTCCTTCAGAGTACAGCTGGTTTAAAGAGGTTCTGTCAACTCTTCTGTCAAGGTCATGCTGACCCCCGGTGGCTCCTCCTTCTCCTGACTCACCTCTGCCTCTCAACCTCCCTCCTCCCACTCACCTCCTTCCTCTTCTGCCTCCGATTCTGCACTGCATTCTGCCTCAGAGTCTCCCAGCTCACTAAGCCCTGTTGCCCCTTCAGCTTCTGACACCTCCTCTTCCCAGGCTTCTCCCTCTTCTCCCACTGACCGCTCATCCTTCCTCCACCTCCACTCCTTGGGTTCTGAGACGTCTTCGTTTCCTGGTTCCCCGGCTGCTTCCTCCCACCATTCCTCTGTGCCCAACCAGTCCATGACATTGCTCCATCCCTCAGCCTCTGTCCCCACAAGGCAGCTTTCCCTGACCTGATCTGGTTCCACAGCCACTGCTTCCCTTCTGCCCCCATGAAAAGGTGGGTAGGGAGGTCCTGCCAGCATCCTTCTGCCATCTGCAAGAGAGAAAAGTGCAGGTGGACATTTGTGCCCATTTCATATGTTAGTCGTGCAAAAATACATCTCTCCTCCTCTGGACCCTTGTTTCCAACTCCCCCCCCAAAAAAAAACCTGATGAAAAGGACCCAGAGATTATACGGAAAACAGAATGAGACCAAATGGAGAAAAACCACCTTCCTCCTTACCCAGTGGCCTCTCTCTGGTGTCCAACGGAGGCCTCTCTGCCTCACAGGAATCCAGGTCCATTTCCTCAAAATGATCCTTTTCCTGAAAAAGAAACAAGGATTCAAAACAGAGAATGGGGAGAAATACTAGAATGGGAATTAGAAAGTCAAAAACTGTAAGGGTGTGAAACCTTATTCCATGGATGCCTACCCAGTAAAAGGAAGGGCAATCAGAAGAGCATTATGGGATGTTCTCCATCCTATTTGGAGCCCCTTGGGAGTATCCAGAGGAAAGTCTCTCTCACCTGCTTTCTTTCTGCCTGCTCTCTCTCCTCTGCCTGACTCAGGAGAAAACCTTCGGCCAGGGCCACCGCCTGGGAACTGGTCTCCGCTCTGCATTCCCTCACCCAGCTCTCCATCTCCAGAGGAAGGACAGCCAGGAACTGCTCCAAGATCACCAGGTCCAGCATCTCAGCTTTCGTGTGCTTTTCTGGCTTCAGCCACTGATGATCAAGGTGGTAGAGTTGGCTGCAAACCTCTCGGGGTCCTTTGGCCTCCTGGCAGCAGAACTGCCTCAACTGCTGGCTCTGCACCTCTGAGCAGTGGGTGTCCTCCTCACCCAGGATCTTCTGCCCAGAGTTTTCCCAGAATCCCCCACTGCTCCCAGTTTGGATGGCATGGCCTCTTCCTGCTCCAGGGCCAGCTGAGTCTTGCTCATCCATCTATGCTATCAGGAAGTCTCTAAGAGATTGGAATAATTATTATTATTATTATTATTATTATTATTATTATTATTTATTATTTGTACCCTGCCCATCTGGCTGGGTTTCCCCAGCCACTCTGGGCGGCTTCCATAGAAACCAAAAAACACTAAAATATCACACATTAAAAACTTCCCTGAACAGGGCTGCCTTAAGATGCCTTCTGAATGTCAGGTAGTTGTTTATCGCTTTGACTTCTGATGGGAGGGCGTTCCACAGGGCGGGTGCCGCTACCAAGAAGGCCCTCTGCCTGGTTCCCTATAACTTGGCTTCTCGCAATGAGGGAACCGCCAGAAGGCCCTCGGCGCTGGACCTCAGCGTCCGGGCAGAACGATGGGGGTGAAGACGCTCCTTCAGGTATACTGGGCCGAGGCCGTTTAGGGCTTTAAAGGTCAACACCAACACTTTGAATTGTGCTCGGAAACGTACTGGGAGCCAATGCAGGTCTTTCAAGACCGGTGTTATATGGTCTCGGCGGCCGCCCCAGTCACCAGTCTAGCTGCCGCATTCTGGATTAGTGGTAGTTGAGAGAGCCAGTGTGGTGTAGTGGTTCAGAGCGATAGACTCGTAATCTGGGTAACCGGGTTCGCGTCTCCGCTCCTCCACCTGCAGCTGCTGGGTGACCTTGGGCCAGTCACACTTCTTTGAAGTCTCTCAGCCCCACTCACCTCACAGAGTGTTTGTTGCGGGGGGAGGAAGGGAAAGGAGAATGTTAGCCGCTTTGAGACTCCTGAAAGGGGAGTGAAAGGCGGGATATCAAATCCAAACTCTTCTTCTTCTTCTTCTGGGGCTGCCAGAGCATATCAACACCCTCATCCCTACCCCAACATACCAGTGATGTTAATAACATGAGCAACATTGCTTATGGACCCTATATCCAACATAGGCATCACAAAGATGGTTGGAGGATGGATGGCGGCCAACAGATTGAGGTTGAATTCTGACAAAACAGAAGTACTGTTTTGGGGGGACAGGGGGCGGGCTGGTGTGGAGGACTCCCTGGTCCTGAATGGGGTAACTGTGCCCCTGAAGGACCAGGTCGCAGCCTGGTAGTCATTTTGGACTCTCAGCTGTCCATGGAGGCACAGGGCAATTCTGTGTCCAGGGCAGCTGTTTACCAGCTCCATCTAGTACGCAGGCTGAGACCCTACCTGCCCACGGACTGTCTCGCCAGAGTGGTGCATGCTCTGGCTATCTCCTGCTTGGACTACTGCAATGCGCTCTACGTGGGGCTACCTTTGAAGCTGCCAAGAGCCAAAGGCCCCCCCAAAGGGACCGAGGGAGATGCTCAGAGCCCAGCCAAGAGCCAAAGGCCCCCCCAAAGGGACCGAGGGAGATGCTCAGAGCCCAGCCAAGAGCCAAAGGCCCCCCCAAGGGACCGAGGGAGATGCTCAGAGCCCAGCCAAGAGCCAAAGGCCCCCCCAAAGGGACCGAGGGAGATGCTCAGAGCCCAGCCAAGAGCCAAAGGCCCCCCCCAAGGGACCGAGGGAGATGCTCAGAGCCCAGCCAAGAGCCAAAGGCCCCCCAAAGGGACCGAGGGAGATGCTCAGAGCCCAGCCAAGAGCCAAAGGAGCCCCCATATGGACCGAGGGAGATGCTCAGAGCCCAGCCGAGAGCCAAAGGCCCCCCAAAAAGGGACCGAGGGAGATGCTCAGAGCCCAGCCAAGAGCCAAAGGCCCCCCCCCATATGGACTGAGGGAGATGCTCAGAGCCCAGCCAAGAGCCAAAGGCCCCCCAAAAAGGGACCGAGGGAGATGCTCAGAGCCCAGCCAAGAGCCAGAGGCCCCCTCCAAAAGGGACCCGATGGACTGGTGACCCCCTCCTCCCTTTCCTCTCCCCCCAAGCCATCAATACAGCTAACACGATCAATATCCCCCCCCCCCCAGCCTCACACCTCCACAGAGATCCCCACCCAACACCAGTCCAGGTACATAAAAAGACACTCCCCATTACCCAACAATCTACAACTCACTCTCAGCACCACTCCCCACGCCTTACTAAGTAAAATAATTCCCCTTGTTGCCAGGATTTTTAAGGTACCAGTGAGCCACTCAAATTGTGTCCCAGAATTGACAGACGCAGCAGTGGAGAAAAAGAAAGTGATATTTATTGCTGAGCAATAAGTGACCCAGTGGAATCCTTTCCCAAAGACTGGGCCCCGGGCTCCAGCGCCCTGAGGCTTTATACCTGAGTACATACATGACACAATCGGATACAATCGCACACGGCAGCAAAAAGAAAACCAATGAGAGCATTCAAGCCTTGCCCCCTGATCATGTAAAGAGTTCCCTCCCAACTTCTGTTTTTTCAGTCTGAACATGCATTTAACCTTTCCCCTGATTTATGGTAAGGAGGAAGAAAAAGGAACTTCGGCCCTTACGCTCCTACATTCTGCGGTTAGCATCTTCCTGTTTGAGCTACTCGGGACCCTGTCTGGACAGGGGGGAAAGTGCCAGCACAGCAGATTTATTGCTTCCCCCTTATGTTAGCGAGACATTGAGAAGAACAAGGGAAGCGAACTGGGGCAGAGTTCATTTCGGATTCTTCCGATCTAAGCAATTTGCTATCAGCTTTTGCAGAAGCCGTCATGATTCAAACATGGATTATATAAAAATCATTATAAGGATATATGGTTATATGGCTATCTGATTATATGAAAAGCATAAGGGTAAAATTCCTCCAGGTGGTCATGCTTCACCCCAACCTCAATAAAACAATCCACAAACGCTGAAATCTGACAAAACAAGCAGCACATTGCATATCAACACCCTCATCCCTACCCCAACATACCAGTGATGTTAATAACATGAGCAACATTGCTTATGGACCCTATATCCAACATAGGCATCACAAAGATGGTTGGAGGATGGATGGCGGCCAACAGATTGAGGTTGAATCCTGACAAAACAGAAGTACTGTTTTGGGGGGACAGGGGGCGGGCTGGTGTGGAGGACTCCCTGGTCCTGAATGGGGTAACTGTGCCCCTGAAGGATCAGGTGCACAGCCTGGGAGTCATTTTGGACTCTCAGCTGTCCATGGAGGCGCAGGTCAATTCTGTGTCCAGGGCAGCTGTTTATCAGCTCCATCTGGTACACAGGCTGAAACCCTACCTGCCCACGGACTGTCTCGTCAGAGTGGTGCATGCTCTGGGTATCTCCTGCTTGGACTACTAGAATGCGCTCTAGGTGGGGCTATCTTTGAAGGTGACCTGGAAAATACAACTAATCCAGAATGCAGCAGCTAGACTGGTAACTGGGAGCGGCTGCTGGGACCACATAACACCAGTCTTGAAAGACCTACATTGGCTCCCAGTGCGTTTCCGAGCACAATCAAATGTTGGTGTTGACCTCACTGCGAGAAGCCTAGTTACAGGTAACCTGGCAGAGGGCCTTCTCGGTAGTGGCGGCCCGCCCTGGTGGAATGCCCTCCCATCGATGTCAAAGAGAACAACTACCAGACTTTTAGAAGACATCTGAAGGCAGCCCTGTTCAGGGAAACTTTACATGTTTTATTCTGTTTTAGTTACAGATAGGTAGCCGTGTTGGTCTGCCATAGTCAAACAAAAAAATTCCTTCCAGTAGCAACTTAAAGACCAACTAAGTTAGTTCTGGTATGAGCTTTCGTGTGCATGCACACTTCTTCAGATACACTTCTTTCTTCTGTTTTTAGTGTTCTGTTTGGGAGCCGCCCAGAGTAGCTGGGAAATCCAGCCAGATGGGTGGGGTATAAATAATAATTATTATTATTATTATTATATTATTATTATTATTATTATTATTATTATTATTACTATTACGGGGGTCTTCAGGAGTTGTTCTCCCCCCATCCCCACTCCCCTGCTTCTGTCTCCTTTTCTTGCACTTGGACTCTCTCCCGCTCTGAAAACAGACTCCTGGGGTGGGGTCCCTTTTTCTTTGCTCTGAGGGCCAGGTATGTATCTGGACAACCCCCTGAGGGCCAAGTGGGTGGGGCAAATACATCTTTGAAATTTAGGCAGCTAATTTATTATTATTATGATTATTCCCTTAGATGGCTTAACACACACACAGCCATTGATGCCAAGGTCCCTGGAGGGTCAGGGAGTAGCAGCGCCCATTTCCGGCTGCTTTGCCAGCAACAATCCCTTTGGGAGAGAGAGGATGTGGTCCTGGGATGCCCTGCTCTGGGTGCGAGGGGATTGCTGCAGTGGCCTCGGTGGTGAGCTGCCCTGGGAGACACTGGGAAACTGGTCCCCAATGCAGCAGCCAGCCTTTCCTTCCTTCCTCCCCGTGGTTTTTTTTGGGGGGGGGGTCTACTCCACCTCTTCGT